CAAATGATGAGTTCGGCAACTTTAGCGTCGTCTGTGGGAAGCTTAATTTTTTACAGAAACCGCTACCGCTAAACAAAGATCTGAAGACATCCCATTAGGGGACCTTTCATCTGACCAATCAGTGTGTCGCTTACCAGATTATGAAAGTGACAGTCGGAATGTGATTTCTAATCATGCAATCTCGAAAACTATAACATGGGGTATTCCGAACGATAGTTATGGGTTTAACAACTGAATCATTACAATCTAGACCATCTATTAGCCATTCCAGAATGTTTTTTTGTTCAGGTTTCAAATTTGTAATCGAGAATTTGTCAAAATATGTTTTGAAGCGTAGTAGCCAATTTGAAATTTGTGCCGTAAAGCACGAGAAAGCTGCCTTCTGATTGGTCATTCCATTGGTCGGTCAAAGTTCGTGCAAGGTTGGTCTGACGTGACGCGTAATGTGATGTCTTCAGATCTTTGTTTAGCGGAGGCGAGAACTAAGATCTGATTTTAATGAGATTGGGCAAAATATTAATGTCAAATTGAGCATCCTAAGTTTTATAGATTATTTTTTTTATTAAGACTGAGTAATCTCAAAATAATTTTGCTTGCAAAATAAATTTTGAAAAAAAAATGTTTTCATATTTTGAAGAAAATAGGCTTTGTTCATCCGTGATCGAACAAATAGAAAAAATAATAGCCTCAGCTCAACCTGTCACTAACTGGTCCAGGCTTGACTACAGTCAGACCTCGGTGATGTAGCAGGAATGTTGTGCATGTCGGTGTTGAACAACATGGCCTCCTTCACCAACGACAGACACATATACAGCATGGGCGGATACAGCTTTTTTGAAAAGGGGGGGTGCACAATTAATAGCTTGTCATTACCGCAGTGACGTAGCACCAATATTGCAGGAAACTAAGTTATATATAAACCAGGAAACAGGAATATGTTCTAGAAACTACACAATCAATGAACATGACACAACATGCACCCTGTAATCTCAACTCAGAATGTATAGGAAATGAGATGTCAATGTGTCTGTGTCGAGACTGATCCTGTCTTCATTGTCTTAATATTGCATCATGTTGTTTGTTTGTTTGTTTGTTTGTTTAACACCACACTCAGCAATATTCCAGCTGTATGATGGCGGTCTATAAATAATCGAGTCTGGACCAGACAATCAAGTGATTGACATGAGCATCGATCCACGCAATTTGGATCGATGACCTGCATCAACCAAGTCAGCGAGCCTGACCACCCGATCCCAGTAGTCGCCTCTTATCATAGGGTTCATATATACATATATATATTATTTTGGATTAATGTTTCCTAAACATGCACTATATACCAACATAATATAATAAATCATAAAAATGATACTAATAAATCAAAAATATACATAAATGTTTTGTGAACTTACCTTGCCAGTAGTATCATTAGCTGATTATGGTGGTGAAATGACAGTCAGATTTATGAGATGGCCCCTGTCTGTACTCCAAACTAAGCAAGTAACAAGACTAGTCAACAGCAGAGTCATAGTCAGAGTAACATTCAAATCGAGTCAAATAGTTCAACACAAGGAAACATCAGGTCACAGTTTCTGTTGTTGGGAGAACAGGATATATTTGTCTGTCATGCATGCGTTGTCTCAGGCTAACCATGCTGAGAATACGAGGGTTTATGGGTGGGCGGGTAAAAGATAAAGTATTGGCTGAGGATATAGCCCTTCTGTCTCGTCAGGATGCCAATATTCAAACAGGCATGGTAAGTGAGTGTTGAAATCAGTTACTGTGTGTTGCTACTGAAGAGAGGGAGTAGTGAAGTCATTGATTCAGTGTTTACTGAATTCAACAACTCTCAAACTTTGCTGCCTAGGTTTTGTTTGTTTTGATATTGTGTGTTCTATACTACTCAAAAGAAGTTAAGGGTTAAGTTAGAACACCCTCAAAAGTTAATAAAATTGCTCACTATTCGTTTAAATTTAGTCAGTTGTCATATTAAAGAAGCTGAGAAGGATGAAAGATATTTCATTTCATTGTCCCTGTAGGTGTGTGGTTATCAATGATCCTTGTGAGATTTCAAGAAGTATTCAGTGAGTTAATATTTGATGTCACTTCAGCAATATTTCAGCCATATCGTTAACCGTGAAGCAGTGAGACAGGGAGAAATAATATGTTTTATTACCGTTAGGGCTAGAAATAACCAAGGGGGCATGGGTGGCTCAGTTGTCTAAGGCGCCGCAATTCGCTGTGCAGAGTTGCGTCCCTAAAGCACGCCAGAAACCTATGATTGTGGGTTCGAATCCCGGTTCGCCCCGATTATGTTTCTAGGTTTGTCGGCAGCATACTCGTGCTCGTGGGTTTCACCAAAGTGGTAAGCATCTGAGACCTGCATCACTTCAGGCTTTCCTCTCACATTCCGTGATATAAATGGAATACTGTTATAAGCGGTGTTAAACCCAACTCACTAACTCACTAGAAAAAAAACAAGTTCATAAAAATTGCATGTGCAAGTATCACTTCTAATGCACCAAAGTATTGTTCATGTCAATCGGACAACATTGTTAACGGCATTCGAATCTCATTGTGACACTAGAAACGATGTCATGATGAAGGTTGTTGATGTAATTCAACAATAGGGATGTTCTGAGACAGCGGTAGTGAATTTTCTGAAGGGGGAATCAAATGAATAATGAGTAATAAAGAAATTATTACACTCGCATGTGTGTCATACTGATTTTTCAACACTTGTATAGGAAATCACTTTTAGATCTTTGGGAACATATAAATTGTATAAGGTGAGGTGAGGTGAGGTGAAATTGGGCTTAACGTCGCGTCCAAGATTATTGCACTTATATAGCGACGTGCATGCATGTGTGTGTGTGGCTGCTTGTACTAGTCCGGACTGATGCCGATTTATAGTGCTAGCACACTAAGATACCATGCCGCAGTTTAACATGAATACCCCACTCAATCACAGTATACTGATTCCGAACCGACCAGTCCTTGTTTTAGCCCCTTAATGCCGAGCGCCAGGCAGGGTAACAACAAGTACCATCTTTTAACGTCTTTTGGTATGACCCGGTCGGGGATCGAAACCCGGACCTTCCGTTCTCCGGGCGGACGCTCTACCACAAGACCACGGAGGCGGTCAAATTGTATAAGCGTAACAATGTTTTCTTTCTATTTCATACATAGAGATTATGATACAAGCATGTGTGTCATACTGATTTTACAAAACTTGTATGAGAAATCATATATCACCTTCACTCCCGCTCAGGAAATACAAGAATTCTGTCACTCATTTTGTTAAATCAGTATGATACACATGCTTGTATGACAATCTCAGTGGAAGAAATAGAAAGAAAACGATAGTACCCTTTGCTGTTTGTATTTTTCCCCAAGATCTGAACAGAGCAGAACGACAGAATATCAATGAATTGGTGATACAGAGCATCAAAGTCCAGCTGCATCTTTGAGCATCAGTATGATTATGATGTTGAGAAATGTTTGGGACACGGTGACAACTGGAAACAGTCCCTTCATTTTGGACTATACGATACTGTTCAGCAGGATAATCACTCTCGTCCCTCATATAAGAGTCTGTCTAATAGGTTGAAGATGAAGGGGAATTGAATTGGCCTGTACATGCTGTAAGGTCATGGGTATAGGCCCATCAGGTCAATCTGACTCTTTTATCAGAAGTGGAGGAGTGAGTGAGTGAGTGTGGTTTTACACCGCTTTTAGCAATGCTTTAGCAATATCACGGCGGGGGACACCAGAAATGGGCTTCACACATTGTACCCATGTCCAGAATCGAACCCTTGTCTTTGGCGTGACGAGCGAACACTTTATCCACTAGGCTATCCCACCGCCCCCAGAAGTGGAGGAGAGGGCTGTGTGATGATTGTAGGTGGTGAAGGTGATATGTACTTTGGAGTGAGAAAGTGAGTGAGTGGGTCAGGTTTTACTCCACTTTTAGGAACATTTCAGCCATAACATGGCGGAAGGACACCAGAAACTGGCTTCAGACATTGTACCCACAGTTGGACCTGAACATGGACCTGTGGAATGATGAGCAAATGCTTCACCACTAGGCTTTCCCACCACTCTACTTAGAAAATAAAAAAACTCACCATTAAATGGGGATCTTCCAGCAGTTTGAAAAAATATATCAGTGTGCCCACACTGTCAGTCTCATCTTCCTGAGGCAAGGGAGTAACTGCAAAAGTCCAGTTTCCACCCTTGCCGAAATAGTTTGGAATTTCCAGGTTCGTTAGTAGAGCCAAGAGTGTCTATTATGTCTTATGTCCCCTCTATGTCCCTCCTGTTGACCAGTCAGATTCCACTTCTCATATCACTTGCATTTTCTGGCAGGTTGCTTGTCACCATGAGAAATGTGGATAGTTCTGTGTGACTCTGTATTTCAGATTGATGTGGAGAAATGTGGATAATTCTGTTTGACTGTGTATGTCAGATCCGGGTGATCGATGTGGAGAAATGTGGATAGTTCTATGTGACTGTGTATTTCAGATCCGGGTGATCGATGTTGAGAAATGTGGATAGTTCTGTGCGACTGTGTATGTCAGATCCGGGTGATCGATGTGGAGAAATGTGGATAGTTCTGTGCGACTGTGTATGTCAGATCCGGGTGATCGATGTGGAGAAATGTGGATAGTTCTGTGCGACTGTGTATTTCAGATCCGGGTGATCGATGTGGAGAAATGTGGATAGTTCTATGCGACTGTATTTCAGATCCGGGTGATCGATGTGGAGAAATGTGGATGGTTCTATGTGACTGTGTATTTCAGATCAATGTGTAGAAATTGATTCTATGTGACTGTGTATTTCAGATCCGGGTGATCGATGTGGAGAAATGTTTATGGTTCTGTGTGACTCTGTATTTCAGATCCGGGTAATCGATGTGGAGAAATGTTGATAGTTCTGTGTGACTGTGTATTTCAGATCAATGTGGAGAAATGTTTATGGTTCTATGTGACTGTGTATTTCAGATCCGGGTGATCGATGTGGAGAAGTCCAAGAAGGTGTATGAGGATGTGATGAAGAAGCTGGACAGGATTGAGAATGAGTACCTGCCTCAGGTCAAGCTGGACAACACAGAGGTAGGTCACATCCAGTAGAGTTAGCAACCTATGCTGGTTGTAAGAGATGGCCAATCTCTTTCTGTCTCCCACTCCCCTCCAATTTATGTCACATTTGTTCATAACAACCCACCCCCATCCCTACCCCAAATACATATACGAGGTAACATCTTGTCATGCCTCCCCTCCACCACCCCCACTCCCCTTCCCAAAACATTATGTTCAATGTTATTACTTTTTTTTGGAACAAATAGAACAGTCATATTTTTCATGTCATACTTTCAGGCCCTTATAATAAAAGACCAGGCCCCGTTCCACAAAGCCATCTTAGAGCTAAGTTGATCGTAACTCCCATTCTTTAACACTGACTTACGACAATCATAGCGTTAAGATCGCTTTGTGGAACGGTGCCCAGTCCCTTAACCAAACTTTTTGCCACAAGATTTGCATAAATTTAGAACTGAGCGAAATGTTTATAAATCATTATTAAAGTTAAGAAATCATTATTTAAGTTAGCAGATGTCTTCATATTAATGAAAATTATTCTTTGTTCATTTCAACATGATACCAGCACCAAACTATATATATAAGTCATGTAAATAGTGCAGGCAATGCATAAACAAAGACATTTTCACGAAGTACTAAGTGGATTCGAGGGGAAAAATACCTGTTGTCTGACAAAGAAGCGAACCAATTTGGCTTGACACTCTGACAGTAAACATGATAAAGAACACTGTTTTTGTTATCACAAGTAGTTTCAGTTTCAGTTTGTTTACCCTTGTGTGTAAAGGGTTTTGGTTTTTATTTGTTTTTTCACAAATATGATTCAGTTTCCGCCCTGGGTCTCAGTTTCTTTTGTATTTACTGTGGTAATAGGCAGTCTTGAGACAGCTAGATGACTGAAATAGGGATTGGGTGGATAGTATGGCCTCTGGGAATGGCTAGAACCGGGATCAGGGCATCTTCTTTATCTCCAGGGCTTGTAGTTCAGTGAACATACACTAATCCCTCCATCAAAAAGATCATTAAGGGCTTTCTTTTGTTAGTCAGGTTTTCAATGTTGAATTTCTCACAGACTCTCTCGTAATCAATGGGAATGGCTGCCATGTTGTAGATATTGCCAATCCAACAGTGAGGCAGGTTTGATTGGTCTGTTAGCGTAGAACATCAAATTGGATGATGAAAACCAAGAGCGAGTAATTTGAGATAGCGAGAACTCAAAGGAATGGATCCAGGGCCCACTTGCACAAAGCGATCTTAGCGCTAAGATGATCGTAACTCCCATACTTTAACATAGGCTTACAATAGTCTTAGCACTAAAATCGCTTTGTGCAAGTGGGCCCTGGTGTTAGTGTCGGTTCAGCAAGACGCGAGCCCTGGAGGTACAGAGGATGGGATCAGGGCACCGCCATCCGTCTGCCACCTGTTTGTCTGCCCAGTAGGGATGTTTTTGTAATATACTACTCAGAAGTTCACCCAATTTGTTCATATTAATATGGTTAACCTGCCATTGGTTGGTTGGTTGGTTTGTTGTTTTACGCCGCACTCAGCAATATTCCAGCTATATGACGGCGGTCTGTAAATAATCGAGTATGGAACAGACAATCCAGTGATTGATATCATGAGCATCGATCCACGCAATTCAGCGAGCCTGACCACCTAACCTGCCACTGAATCAGGTGTTCCATGACTTATTTTCAGTTGTATGTCATATATCATATTGATGTTTAAGCTACTGTAGCTATATTTTTGAATATATACCAGAGATTTTGCTGGAGACAAATGAGATTAGGACAGTTTCATGATTTTAAAGAACTTTTGAGAGATGAAGACATGATAGGACATCCTAGATCTCTGCCAAATTTGAAAAATAACTTTGGGGCACTTTGGATAGCAATCCGTCAATGTCCGAGGAAATTATTGATTATTGATTATTGAAACGCAGTACACATTCCCCATTTCAAGTACATGTTGTTATGGATTTAAACTCCTCGTGAGGTCTTGACGGAGAATGTAAGCCCGGGGAGGAGGGAAATAGGGGAGGGCCGAAGGGAAATAAATATTCCTGAAGATCAGAGAGGCAGATTTATGGTGTGTGAATGAAACTAATGTAAGGAAGTATTACAGGAAATTTCTTGACCAAGGCGATGAACTGTAAACAACTCAGAAAATTGATTTGTGATTAAATTCGGAGATAAACCTACTGTGTTTTGAAATTCAAGGTCATCTCACTACGGAAACGATAGTTATTTTTTGGGGGAACCATGCCCTTTAAGTATGATCATGATGATTAATGTTGTTGCAGTGTTGCCATATCAATTAAAACAACAATGTTTTGTTGATGAAGAATCCATATGTCAATCATCGTCAAGACTTTTATGTTTCACAGAATTATGGCCCTTGTTTGATCTTTTCATTGTTCGCAGAAACTGTTATAGATACGTAGATGACATTTTGTCTTCATCTTTAAGGGGAATTATGCAGATAAAGTTTTAAAACAGCATCGATAATGAATATTTTACAGAATAATGTCCAGTGTGTCATTGTCCATTATGATCTGTGTTTCGGTGTTTCAGTTCGTCTTTGAAGATGTCAAGTTCAATGAGCCACAGAAGAGGGTTCTAACTGTGGCTAACATTGGTCAGGTCAGTGCATACTTCTGTTTTAACATCTTATAGAATCTTTCCTCCTTTTTAGTAATGATACTTATCAATACTGGGGTTAGGGTGGGTCCAAAACCCATTAGGCGACTAAATTGTATTGGATGTTCAGATTGAGTGCGGTACAGATTCGGAGCCTTGGTTGAGTGCACGTCATTGTACAGATTCGGAGCCTTGGTTGAGTACATGTCGTCGTACAGATTCTGAGCCTTGGTTGAGTACATGTCATCGTACAGATTCTGAGCCTTGGTTGAGTACATGTCGTCGTACAGATTCGGAGCCTTGGTTGAGTACATGTCGTCGTACAGATTCTGAGCCTTGGTTGAGTACATGTCGTCGTACAGATTCGGAGCCTTGGTTGAGTACATGTCATCGTACAGATTCGGAGCCTTGGTTGAGTACATGTCGTCGTACAGATTCGGAGCCTTGGTTGAGTACATGTCATCTTACAGATTCGGAGCCTTGGTTGAGTAAATGTTGTCGTACAGATTCGGAGCCTTGGTTGAATACATGTTATCATACAGATTCAGACACTTTGTTAAGTACACGTCATCTTACACATTCAGAGTCTTGGTTAAATACATGTTATCATACAGATTCAGACACTTGGTTAAGTACACGTCATCTTACAGATTTGGAGCCTTGGTTGAATACACATTATGGTACAGATTTGGAGCCTTGGTTGAATACACATTATGGTACAGATTTGGAGCCTTGGTTGAATACACATTATGGTACAGATTTGGGGCCTTGGTTGAATACACATTATGGTCCAGATTTGGGGCTTGGTTGAATACACATTATGGTACAGATTTGGGGCCTTGGTTGAATACACATTATGGTACAGATTTGGGGCCTTGGTTGAATACACATTATGGTACAGATTTGGGGCCTTGGTTAAGTACACGTCATCGTATACATTACATGGCAGTTGGTGAAATAGTTGTAATGTATCCGTTGATATTGTTGTATACATTAGTTATACCTTACTCTTATTCCATCCCCTGACAGGACAGTGAGGATATTCTATATGTTACAGGTGCCTGTGGAGTATGAGTTCATCAACAAGTTGGATGACATCAGCTTCTGCAAGTCCTGGCTCAATGTTACACCTTGTAAAGACAGTATCCTGCCTGGTGAGTGAGTGAGTGAGTGAGTGAGTGAGTGATACAAATAACTCTCTCTTTCTCACAGATGGTGTTTGTGTATCAATGTCACACCGTGTTAAGACAGTATCCTACCTGGTGAGTGAGTGAGTTAGTGTGTGAGTGAGTGAGTGAGTGATACAAATAACTCTCTCTTTCTCACAGATGGTGTTTGTGTATCAATGTCACACCGTGTTAAGACAGTATCCTGCCTGGTGAGTGAGTGAGTTAGTGTGTGAGTGAGTGAGTTACTGGATGAGTGTGTGAGTGGGTGAGTGAGTGAGATACTGGGTGACTGTATGAGTGAGTGAGTGAGTGAGTGAGTACTACAAATAACTCTTTCGCAGTGTTTGTCTACAACTAATTGCTGATGTTTGTGTATTTATCTGTAGGGGACTGCTGTGACATCTCACTGATGGTGTTTGTGGACAAGGACACTGCCGGTGATCTCAATTCCAAGGCTGAGATGATGGAGGATATACTAGTGCTTCACCTGACTGGTGGCAAAGATTTCTTTATATCCTTGACTGCATGTTTACTGCTCTCCAAAATCAGGATGCTGCACAGATGTTGCTTGGCAACTGGCTGTCAGTACCATCTGCTAGTCATATGAGGCAAAGATATAAGTTTGTCATGCTTAGCAACATCTTTGATGGTGTGTCATGGTACCCAATACAATAAGTTTATCTGGTCCAGACTTGATTGATGGTGTGTAATGGTACCCAATACAATAAGTTTATTTGGTCCAGACTTGATTGATTATGTGTCATGGTACCCAGTACAATAAGTTTATCTGGTCCAGACTTGATTGAAAGTGTGTCATTGTGCCCAGTACAATAAGTTTATCTGGTCCAGACTTGATTGATAGTGTGTCATTGTGCCCAGTACAATAAGTTTATCTGGTCCAGACTTGATTGATGGTGTGTCATTGTACCCAGTACAATAAGTTTATCTGGTCCAGACTTTATTATTTACAAACTGATGTCATATACAATGTAGCTGGTACCCGGGAAGATTCCGGGTAGAATAAGTCTTCAGCAACCCATGCTTGTCGTAAGAGGCGACTATGCTTGTCGTAAGAGGCGACTAACGGGATCGGGTGGTCAGGCTCGCTGACTTGGTTGATGAATGTCATCGTATCCCAATGGCGTAGATCGATGCTCATAATGTCAATCACTGGATTGTCTGGTCCAAACTCGATTATTTACAGACTGATGTCATATATCTGGAATATTTTTGCTGAGGGCGATGTTTAACACCAAACAAATCATGTCGCTGGAATATTGGTGAGTGTGGCTTTAGAAACCCTACTGCATCTGAGTTAGAATAGCTCTAAATTGAATTGCTTGATCTGTCTCGTAGACATGTATTTTTCTATTTCATGCAAACCCATTGATATGGGACTTTGCTTATAGTGTCAAACACTGGAAAGTGCTGGAATAACATTCATTCATAACTTTTTGCTAAAATGAGTATGCGGTGTGAAATTTGGCTGATTGTATGAGAGCTGTGATATTACCAACTGAAACATTTTACCAAATTCACTCCTTAACCGTCACACATTCCTGTCAGTGGAAAGTACGTCTCCAGTAGTTTTGGAACACCAATCGAGACACTTGTCCAGATGCATGGACCAATCAGAGAAGTGGCAGTCGGAGACCTCATCTCATTTGTAAGATATTTTACTTCATATTTCATCCCAAAAAGGGACCAGAGTTAAAATAATCCTTTCCACCCTATTGAGTGCTGACTAACATGGATCGGTGGTCAGGTTCAATGACTTTGTGGATTGCCTGTAAGGGCTGGGATGAGTAACTCGGGTACTCGGGCCGGGTGGGTACTGAGTAGGATCCGGGTACGCAGATGTCTACCCAGACCCGTGCTTAGTCACATAATATATTGTTTACTGACGAAAATTATCTAGAACTCCATGGTTACACTACAAGGGCTGGGCCGAGTCCAAATTTACTACCTGGGTATCCCACCCCTATTACCTGACCCTACCCGTGTACCCACTGCAGGTCCCAAGAGTTGGAAACAAAATGTCTGATTGAGAATAGTTTTGCCGCAGCCCTGGCCAAAACTATTTAGATACATGTATCAAATGATCAGATCATGCGTTTCCGGAAGTTGACAGAAGCATTATCTTTACTCAAACATATGCAAGTCAAAAGGAATGTAAGGAATCGTTAGAAAAGAAATGTGATCATTAGCGACATGTAGTGTAACCAGTGAGCTATAGTGAATTTTTGTCATTAAACAATTTATCACATGAATAACCACGGGTCCAGGTAGTCCTGTGGGTACCCCAGTCCTACGCAGGACCCACCTGACCCGAGTACCCAAGTTACCCGTCCAAGCCCAAATCACTGGTTTGTCAGTCTTGATATGGCTGGAACATTGTTGACTGCTGTCACAGAACGGACAAGCAACTACTATAAGTTGTACTTCTAGGCGAAGTCACAGCCCAGAATATGATCAATATACTGTTAATAAATAATTGGGACTAAATATAAGCAATCATGAACCATTGGCAACATGTTAGAAATCTGCCGAACTTCCAAATCGTTGGGCGACATGTGTATATTGTTAATAATTTGTAAGGTGTTCATTATTCTCATGCTGCGTATCTGTAGCCCATTGTAACACCAGCTCAGTAATATTAATACTTTGATGATGACCTGTGGCTGATTGTGTCAAGTATCAAGTTCTATTCAATCTCTGAATGCTTTGTTGTCATTGTAGATGCTAGATTGCATGTACAATGTTCCCTCGTTATTGCGCCCTTCAATATAGCGCTAACTCGGTTATAGCGCACGGTAAGGCCTGGCTCCCATAATTTACTAACATTTTCAATAAACTCAAGTTCCACTACCTAGGACTCGACCTTCGTTAAACCGCTGATCATCTATAACGCTCATCAATTATTTGTAAGTAGGTATCCAAGATTTCTCAGAGTCCGTCCGAGGCCAGCTTCGAGCTTTCTTCCAAATTATCTATTGTACCTTTGTACCCCGAATGTAGCGTTGTAGCGAGGGATCACTGTATATATATAAACGTGTCTCCTCCCATCTTCACAGGGTTCTCCAAATGCAAACACGTCTGCTCTCGGCTCCGATCAACCATACATCTGTCCAAAAGAAATAGCTCGTCTTGTGAATCACCTCTTCAAATATGGCAAAGCACAGGTAAGCTTCTTTCGTTGTTATGGTAACGTATCCGAAAGAATGATGTATATTATTTTTGTTATTATTTCTACAAACTCACATTGTTATGTTTGGCCCAACGATCTTAAGTTCTCAATTTGCTGTGCGGAGTTGTATCCCTTTGTACGGCCAGGATGTTTATGATCCTTGTTGCTGCTTGGTGGTGTACATGTCTATGACATGCACCAGTTAGGGCTCTCCTCCAACACTAATTATTGTACCATGATACAATGGAAATAATGATTATATTGAGATCAAACCCAACTCACTCACTGACTGTTGCAGGAGGATTTGTTTCTGCAACCAGGCAATCAGGGAGAAATACAGCAGATACGAGATGCACTGGACACCGGCAACCCTGATCTCATTCGTATCCTTGCCCTCAGGACATTCACAATGTTCTCCAATAAATCCAGACCAAAAATATTCTTGTTTCACAGTTCCCAGGTCAATATACCAAGAAACACCCGTGAAGATCCCGGGGTAGAATAGGTCTTCAGCAACCCATACTTGCCGTAAAAGGCGACTATGCTTGTCGTAAAAGGCGACTAACGGGATGGGTGGTCAGGCTCGCTGACTTGGTTGATACATGCCATCGATCCCAATTGCGTGGGTCGATGCTCATGATGTCGATCACTGGATTGTCTGGTCCAGACTAGATTATTTTACAGACTGCCGTCATATAGCTGGAATATTGCTGAGTGCGGCGTTAAACAACAAACAAACAAACAAACAAACAAACAAACAAACAAAAAGAAACAGGAGAAAATATTAATAATTTTTATGAATGTCACCAGGGTTAATGTGTAGTTAGTTTCTGAAAAAAGTTCTTACTTAAATGCCACGGTGACGAAATAGTATGGGTGATCAACTTCTTTGTTACAATTGTAGTAACACTTTGGTTTAGTTTCTTGTTCAGAGTTATCAAGAAAATCCTAAAAGATCTATCTTAGTTACTTTTAGCCAACGTGTTCAATACCTAAAGTCTTTATATTTTTGTTACTCTTAAGTTTGAATAAAATACTACAAACAACATACATTGATGTGGCCTGAATATGGACATGAGAAACTACTGAGGGTCACAGTATAAAGAATTACCAACTTGAATATAAACACAAACACGGTTTATTGAGCAGCAGTTGTAACAAGTATGTAACAAAGTTATTCAAAGAATAGGCGTTACACAATAGGCATCTGGTCAGTTATCACCGCTGGGGTCAAGAGTTCTACCCACTTGTGTCAAACTAGGCATCATTGACCACTCTAGCAGTCCAGACAGACGCCACCCACTCAACACTTCGTCAAAGGTTGCCACGACCCAACGTGCACCAACAGCCTTCATCTCACTCCTCAGATCTGCAACCTTTGTGTTTCATCTGCCATCAAGTCTTTTGACACCTCTGTATACCAGGGGGCACAGGTGGCCCAGTCGTCTAAGGTGCCGCAATTTGCTGTGCAGAGTTGCGTGGCTTGGGCACGCCAGAAACCTATGATTGTGGGTTCGATTATGTTTCTAGGTTTGTCAGCACCATACCCGTGCTTCAGGGTTTCACCAAAGTGGTAAACGTCTGAGACCTGCATCACTTCAGGCTTTCCTCCCACATTAAGCTGACACGCCGCGATATAACTGGAATACTGTTAAAAGCGGCGTTAAATTCAACTCACTCACTCTGCATACCAATCAGTGAACTGTTGTTGGTTCAATTTTTTTGTTGTGTTTGAACTTCCTTTAATTCCAGTCATCAGAATAAACATATGACCTATGTGTTGTTTTTAGAAAACACTTTTTATTATTTTATGGAAGTGCTCTTTTCAGCGCTAATAAGCAATGCTATTTGCTCATTGCTATGTGTCATTCCACTGGGGATGGGGAGGGGGAAGTCACATTGATATTGAGTTGCAAATTTGGCTAGGGGTCAGCAGTCGTATTAATTTGGAGACGCATTAATTTCAAGATTTACAGTATCAGAGACCTCGTATTGCCATTACCTTAAGTCATTTGGATATTGTTGATATTGAATAGAGATCTAACAAACAATGAATTTGAAGATCATACGTCAATCACTGGATTGTCTGGTCCATATTTGAATATTTTCAAGCCACTGTCATAAGGCTGGAGTGTGATGTTATAAAGCTAGCTAACAAACATTCCAAATTCTCTATGTGTGAAATGACCATTTTCAAAATTGCTTATAATCAAATGGCTTACCAAGAATATTTCCAGATGTGGATGGTTTTGGATTACTGAGGCTTGTGTTGACTTGTGTTGACTTGACTTGTGTTGACTTGTGTTAACTTGTGTTAAATTGTGTTGACTTGTGTTGACTTGGATAATCTGTATCGATATACATTGTATGACCAACGTTTTGAAAGATTGATTTTTTTAGATACTATAATGCAATTCCACCTCAGCTGAAAATTTTGAATGCAAGTTTTGGACAGGGTGTTTTTTTCTGGAAGTCTGTGACTATTCAATACATGACAGCATATTCAGGTTCAATGTAAATAGTAGACTGGAAGCAGGAAGGGTTTCTGAGAATCTATAACATCATCAATAATTTCATCCCGCCATTGTGCTTGACCTCCTTGACCTCTCCCAGCTGGCAGTGTCCACTCCGTGGCCGAGGCGATGCTGTTGTTCCTTGAGTCCCTCCCCCAGCCGGTCATCCCCTTCGCCCAATATCAGACCTGCCTGGACTGCTCCAATAACTTCATGCTCAGCAAACAGGTATGTCAGTGGAGTCAAGATGGCTTCAGATGGTTGCTTGATCCCCTTTAGCTGAAGACTCAAGTTAAATACAGTAGAACATGGATATAACGAGCTACAAGGGACCGGAGAAATCAGTTTGTTATACATATATTGTTCGTTATATACATACATTTAAATGATAATATCATGGAGATAAATCAGGGATTTTGTAACAGTTCGTTGTGTCTATTTGTTCGCACTATCTGGTTCGTTATATCCGTGTTCTACTGTAGATCATTCAGACATCGGTGCTTTACAGTTGGGTACATTCATTGCAGTGTATTCAAATACCTAGCATCACTTGTCTGTGATAGGCATTAAACAGTTTGAAGACTATGAAGACACGACACTTTTATGGATCACAACTTCTTTGTTTGTAATGGTTCAGGGCTACTTCTTGCTCCTTCATTAGGCGAATAACCCGTGGAGATCCGGGGTAGAATAGGTCTTCAGCAACCATGCGTGCAGTAAAAGGTGACTATCCTTGTCGTAAGAGGCGATTAACGGGATCGGGTGGTCAGGCTCGCTGACTTGGTTGATGCACGCATCATCTCAATTGCATGGATCGATGCTCATGATGTCAATCACTGGATTGTCTGGTCCAGACTGGATTATTTACAGACCTCGATCATATAGCTGGAATATTGATGAGTGCAGTGCCAAACAAACAAACAAACAAAAGGTGAATACGCTTACACAGATTTTCAGTGATCCATTCATATAATTTCATCACTATTTTGCCTTTTACACCCATTGTTTTTGTCAGATAATCATGACAATGTTTAATCAGTGATCATGTGTTCATTATGTTTCAGGCACTACAAAAGATTCCTCTGAGTCACAGAAACGTCTTCAAGTACCTGTGTGCTTTCCTTAGAGAACTACTTAAACACAGCGAGAACAACAATCTAGAAGCCAAATTCCTTGGTAACTATGTGTTATATTATTACTACAGGCCACTCTTCAATGCGTGAGAGCTTTTTGAAACATGTTATTTCATGTATGAGATTTGTGATTTTTATCAAGTGCATGTGGTCTTATACAAAGAGGTTATCATGTGTGTCGTAACGATTTCATGAAACGGGTGTCAGAATTCTTGTATTTCCTGAGCAAGGTTGAAGGTAAGACATGATTTCTTACACAAGTTTTGTAAAGTCAGTCAGTATGACACATGCAAGTGTAAGAAGTTCTTTATTGCCCATTATTTCTGGATCCTTTTGAGCTCCCCTTACGACCTTGACCTTACATCGCAATAAGATTTGAGTGGCTTCAGATTTGATTGAAACAATGCACCGGTGCATGTGAAGTGATATTTGCACTAGTGCACATCCGATTTATATGAACTTGGTTATTTCTAACCATAGGGGTAATACAAATTTATTGCTACAGGCCACTCCCCAATGATGTTGGAGCATTTTGTACCTGTCATTCTTGTGAAGGTTGTATTGTGTGTTCTATAGTTTTCATTACATTATGGGGGGCACAGGTGGCCCAGTCGTCTAAGGCGTCGCGATTCGCTGTGCAGAGTTGCGTCCCTTGGGCACGCCAGAAACCTATGATTGTGGGTTCAAATCCCGGTTTGCCCCGATTATGCTTCTAGGTTTGTCAGCACCATACCCGTGCTCGTGGGTTTCACCGAAGTGGTAAATGTCTGAGACCTGAATCACTTCGGGCTTTCCTCCCACATTAAGCTGACACGCCGCGATATATATGGAATACTGTTAAAAGCGGTGTTAAACCCAACTCACTCACTCACTCATTACATTATGATACACCCTACCTTTGGTACCAGCAGTGGACTGGTCCAAGCATATACCAGTTTAGCATTAAGCAAGCTCTTTCTGTGTGCAAGAGCATTGTTTTCTTAGCAAGATGCCAGCTCCACCCTTTGTCCATGCAATGTCAGTTAGGCTTTTCCACTGTATGTAGCATCAATGGTTCTTATTTAAAGTTATGGCCCTGACAGTGATAATGAAATTGGTTAGATTCTTGATTTTGTTTTTTTTACAACAGTTTGCAGGAAAGGGTAGGGAATTTGGGGAATTGTATGTAATAACGTAGAGCTGTAATATGGTTGGAGATATATGATATCGTTTTAGAGATGTGATAACATTGAAAAGATGTAATATGGTTGTATAGATGTAATTTGGTTGTAGATATGTAATATGGTTTTAGAGATGTTATAACGTTTTATAGGTGTAATATGGGTGTATAGATGTAATATGGTTGTAGGGATGTAATATGGTTGAAGCTATGTAATATTGTTAGAGATATGTAATTATATGTAATAATGTTGTAGAGCTGTAATATGGTTTGAGCAATGTAATACTGGTGTAGAATTGTGAAATGATTGTATAGATGTAATATAGTTGTAGGGTGAAATATGGTTTTAGATGTGTAATATGGATGGACAGACGTAATATGGTTGTAGATATGTAATATGGTTGTAGATATGTAATGTGCTTGTAGATATGTAATATGGTTGTAGATATGTAATGTGGTTGTAGATATGTAATATGGTTGACAGTATGTAATATGGTTTTAGAGATGTAATATGGTAGGAGAAATGTAATATGGTTGTAGAGATGTAATATGGTTTTAGTGATATAATATGGTTGTAGATATGTAATATGGTTGGCGATATGTAATATAGTTTTAGAGATGTAATATAGTTGTAGGGGAGTAATATGGTTGGACATATGAAGTATGATTTTAGAGATGTAATGTGGTTGTAGAGATGTAATATAGTTGTAGGGGAGTAATATGGTTGGATATATGAAGTATGATTTTAGAGATGTAATGTGGTTGTAGATATGTAATATGGGTAAGGAAATGTAATATGGGTGTAGAGATGTAATATAGTTGTAGGGGAGTAATATGGTTGGACATATGAAATATGATTTTAGAGATGTAATGTGGTTGTAGAGATGTAATATAGTTGTAGGGGAGTAATATGGTTGGACATATGAAGTATGATTTTAGAGATGTAATGTGGTTGTAGATATGTAATATGGGTAAGGAAATGTAATATGGGTGTAGAGATGTAATATAGTTGTAGGGGAGTAATATGGTTGGACATATGAAATATGATTTTAGAGATGTAATGTGGTTGTAGATATGTAATATGGGTAAAGAAATGTAATATGATTGTAGAGATGTAATATAGTTGTAGGGGAGTAATATGGTTTGACATATGAAATATGATTTTAGAGATGTAATGTGGTTCTAGGTATGTAATATGGAGATATGGAATATGGTTAGAGATATGTAATAATGTTGATGTAATATGGTTGTTGGGATGTAATATGGTTGTAGAGATGTAATACGGTTGTAGATATGTAATATGGAGATATGGAATATGGGTGTAGATATGTAATAACATTGTAGAGATGTAATATGGTTGAGGAGATGTAATATAGTTGTAGAGATGTAATGTGGTTGGAGATTTGTAATGTGGTTGTTGAGATGTAATATGCTTTGTCATAGGAATGTTACATGGTTTAACAGGCTTTTGACTATCGCATCACTAAGATGATGGTAGTACCCATACATTTTGATACCGATAGTTGAACATTTGTTGAGTAACGTTAATAGTTGGTTTCACATGACATTTTGTTAATAAATGCTTGAGTCACAATATGGCTGAAATAGTGCCGGACCCGTGAAGATCCGTGGTAGAATAGGTCTTCAGCAACCCATACTTGCCGTAAAAGGCGTCTATGCTTGTCGTAAGAGGCGACTAACAGGATCAGGTCTTCATGCTTGGTTGATGCATGTCATCATATCCCGATTGTGTGGATCGATGGTAATGATGTCAATCACTGGATTGTCTGGTCCAGACATGTATTAAATTCAGAGGTTGGGAATTTAGGGTAGGGAATTATGGGTATTGAATTCAGGGATAGGAAATAAGTGGTTGGGAATTACACATATTGAATTCAGGGGTATTGAATTTGGAGGTATTGAATTTGGAGGTATGGAAGTATTGGTATTGAATTCAGGGGTAGGGAATCCATGCTTGCCGTATGAAACAACTACCAGGATCTGTTAGGCTCGCTGACTTTGTCATTGTATCCCAATTGCATAGATTGATGCTCATGATGTCAATCACCGGTTTGTCTGCTCCAGACTTGATTATTTACAGACAGCTGTCATATAGCAGGAATATTGCTGAGTGCGACGTTAAACAATAAAGAAGAAGAAGAAATACTACCAATGTGACTTAACACTTTAATTCACTCACTCTACCTCTGTGTATGCACCATGTAATGTCTACTGTCAGACATGCTTAAAGATAATGGTAACTTGACGTGAAACAGCTCTCTCCTTGTGAAGGCACCATTGCGTCTACGAGCACAGTGGGCTCAGCTTCCTTTGAAGTCCCCTGCATACATGTCTGACTTCACTCACTGTTTGATCTCACATGTACATTGCCCAGTAGATATGTACATTGACAGCTCTGCAATTGACGTTATTCTTCAGACACCTTCACTGGGGAGTAGGTATTCTTTGAAGTTGATGAGCAGGATACGCAATGTGGATACACCGAAAAGAGCAATTCATGAGTTGATAGAATGACTGGGGTTTTGTTATTGATCACATCCAAACAAATTTCATTTGATAAATGATGTTCGATTTGCTTTCTTTACTTCATTTCACCAGAAAGCAGCACCAGACAGTTGAAAATCATGAAACAGTTTAAGTGTAATCTTCCTTTTGCCGTTTCATTACTTGTTTGAGGAAGAGGGAACGTGTTTGTCTAATAATAAAAGAAATACATTGATGGCATTTAGATCTGAGAAGTGTAATTGATTAAGGAGACAAAGAGAAGACTTGATATTGATCATGTTGATGAGAGATCACTGGGAGTTGTGCATCAGTTAAGTAAATATGCCTCAGAGACCTGTATAAAGTAATGGCATCAATTTATTGTAAGTTGAGAGGGCAGAGGGGGGATTCATTGTACGTGAAGTAAATGGATATTTTGGCTTTTTTTGCATTTGAATAGCTTTCGTGCATAAAGAGATTTTTTTTTTTCTGTTTGATTTTTTCTTCAAGTCTTTAATGAACATCAGGTCTTTAATGAAAGTATCTGTTTCCAGTGTGTGTCGGGGCAGTGGGGTGGTTAAAGCGTTTCCTCATCTTGATGCCTGAGTACTTTTCTCCGCAATGGGTACAATGTGTGAATCTCGTTTGTGGTGTCCTCAGCCATGATGATTCTGAAATATTGCTTGTCATTTCAGCATCCTTGTTCGGCAATGTGTTCCTGAGGTCAAGGCCAGGCAAGGAGGACAGGTCACCTTCATCCCGCAGAGAACAGGCACGGATCGAAGAGGCAAAGAAGGCTGCATTTGTGTATCATTTTCTCACCAATGAATATGACGAATGAATGCCATTCTGATCAGAAATGGTCTCACTGTTACCAAACACTGACAAGATGCTCCTTCCTTTGAAACCAACAGATTTTGACTGTGGAGAATGTACAAGCCCTCGAAGACGGTGGTGCACAAAATCATGGCACTCCAGCCAAGCAGTTAGTTACACAGCCCACGCAACGGTCACTTGAATTTACCATCCCTTGCATGAACGAGAATGTCTGGAAAAGTTTTCCTAAAGACATGAGTTACATTCAAACAGAGAACAGCTAGGAGAGATTGTAACAAGTACTTATTGTTGAATGTATTGTTAAGAATTTGTTTACTGGTGCAAGATCAGATTTGCTGCATTTTTATCTATGGTTTATGTGTTTTTTGCATATTCTGATAGGAATATATATTGTCAACACACCATAATCTTAATATGTTTTTGCAACAACAAAGCCTGTTTCATGTAACAGTTCAAACACTCACAATTGTCCACCGATGTTTGTTCATAAATTCACAGTTTGTATGAACACATGATAAGCCCAACATTCTCCATGTTTTCTCACATTGGCAAGCATGAGCAAAGTTTCATGTGTCTTGAGTAAGGCCTTTAATAGACTTGGTCCCGGCTGTACATGTGTAGCATCACCTTTATGATGTTTTCTGATGAATCTATTTTAGTTGTCTGCATGATTGGATTTCTCTTTTCCTGTAGCACCTGATTTCTGTACTCAGGGTAGATTACGTTTTGGAGAGATTTGTCCTATATCTTATTGCACTCCAGTAAAATAAAAACATGGGAAATCTGTTCTTGCACCTTTAATAAAATACAAAATAGCCACATTTTTCACACACAAATGTTTCTTCTTTATGCCTTTTGTAATCGTCTGACTCTTTTATAGTATAGCCTAAAATATTGTCGTTGTCATTTTGGCACTTAACATTTAATAATAACATTATCTTTTGACTGATTGTACCCGATATTCAAAACTTATGTTAGTTTATCAGTAGAACATGAACTTCAGTTTTTTCTTTTTTTTAATTATATTTGTCTTTGTAAATTAGAAAAAAACTTAATTAAGTGGATACAAGTGATTTCTATCTCTAACTAAAAACAGATAACACTCTGAACATTTTCAGTGTTACAGGAAAAACTTGCTTTAGAATTATAATCATGATTTCTCTAATATTTTATTTTGGACAGAAATAAGCATGAAATATTTGCAGGAATTTGCTATGTTTATTCTATTTCACCAACACATCACCCTGTGGCAGGCCAAAACCATACTGATTTAGTTAACATTAAGTTGCTCTGAAGGAGCAAGGTTAGTGTTGAGCGCTCGGAACCCGAGGTGAACAAAGAAAATATAATGTGGCTTGTGTATTCAGTGAAGTTTGTGTGTGAATGTCAATTTCTGTGATATCATAAATGTGCATAATGCAAGTAAAAATGTTAGTCTAACGTGACCGGGTGGTCAGACTCGATCACTTGGTTGATGCATGCCATCGTATCCTAATTGCGTGGATCAATGCTCATGACGTCAATCACTGGATTGTCTGGCCCAGACTCGATTATTGCCAGACTGCTGTCCTATAGCTGGAATATTGCTTAGTGGACATTAAACAACAAACAAACAAAACAAAACAATGTGAAATTATGCTTCATGTATTTGGCCTTTTAAAATTTGAGGAAAACAAAACTAAAAACATATTATAGAGGCCCTGAAGCCAGGCATAAATAGTCAATGGATTGTTTTCTTGTTGAATAGGTTTTACATTCCAAGGTAAGGAAGCCATTCTTCAGTGGTGATTTCATTTGCCCTAATGCCACTGCTTTGTAAAACAATGCCATTTTTGTCCTAAAAAAGCAAACATTATTTAATGTTGTGGTGGCCCTAAAATTGAACTTTTTTTATCTCTAAATAAGAACAAGTGGTTTTCATGCGTAGTTTCCATGACAACAATTGTATACAGTCAAGTCTTTGACAGGCATTTAGAAGTTGGTAGAACATGAAGACATTAATTTTTTTATGGCTAACAACCTCTTTAATGTGTTATAAAGAATAAAGAAGTTGCTATATATAAAATGTTTAATGTCAACATTTGTATAGGTGGCTTTTAAATGTTTTTTATTGTAAATACTTCAGCATTGTGATAATAGAGAGACATTCATTCAGAGAGACAGACTTAAATAAAAATGGCAATGTTTTCTTCAAGATCTTGTGATTATACAGGTATTTTGTTCTTGTTCACTTGATATTGTCATAAGCTGTCCCTTTGAAGCCATTCCACCAAAACAATATGTAGAGATGCATAATAGTAACATTCACTTACAGCAAAAGAGCAAGAATTGAGATAAGAAGGGGAAGATATTCTCCTATTGAGATAAAACAGCTTCTTTGCCATTAGTATGAGACTTGAATCCTGTGTATAGGTTTTTTTAGGTAAGTCATAAAAATGGCCACACACAGAAACAGCAAATCAGTTACGTCAGTAAATTATTTGCTTTAGCTAAAAAATATTCTTTGTAGAAAGAATGTAATATGTTTGCTAATCTCACCACTCAAGATTTAATTTGTAAATGAAGGTGAGCTTCTGTACCGCTGTTGCTTTTACCAATGGTTGTCATTAATAGGTCCTTCTTTGGAGATCACTGCAACTTGGCCTACCAATAAATATCAATGAACATGTTAACATCGATGAGCAATGCAGTACATGTACTTAACTTGTTAACTGACTGTATTTGACCAGTTTTGTTTCTCACAGTTATTTGTTATTTGGAATATAGATCTGCTATGGTATTTGAGGTGCAAATGACTTGCTGCTAAACTGTGTTTATGAATCCTTGTTGCTGCTCAGCCAACCGAGTGAACTTTAACATCCATTGTTTGATATTTATCGAGAATTTGTGTAGGTTACCAGTGCCATGTGTGAAGCTTGTAGAATATCTTGGTAATAAGAGCATCCACGTTTATTTCAACTCAGTCATTGACCATACCAATTGTTTCCTGTGGCCGATGACATTGGCCTTCAGTTTACAACAAAACAATTTGAATGTGTTTAGAAATGATTAATCTCATCTTTTGTTCGTATTGTGAATTCTTGTGTTTTCAAAATGAATCTTAAGGAAATTACAAAAAAAGCCTAAAAGGGGTTAATTCAGAGCTGATCAGCAGCTGATATTCAGCCCCGAATGTCAGTCAAAATTCCCAAATTGTGATTAAAAAATTTCCAATTCACATTAATATAGGTATATGTGTTACAGCTTTATAGAGGTGACTTGTACATCACTGATAATAGGATCTAAAAGTGGAAGAGGTTTAGTTTAACATTATTGCACTGAATGTAATGTAAAAATACCTCCGAATGTTGGTTATATAAGAACTTAACAAAATCACAATTTTGAACCAAATAATGATTTCATCACAATTTGCCTTCCAGGGTCACTTAATTTAGAATCCTTCATAAATCCATGCCTAACTCTTACAACATTTTTGTTCTCTTGCCTTCCTCATCTTGGATTGGCTTGGACAATCTGTACAACAACAGTTACAAAAAGTCTGTCCTTTACGGAAGAGATGCATTATTTCTTGGACTGTGAAACTGCTTGTTGTCTGGCCCCTATCTCCACTAATGGAACTACATGAATTGTCACATTTTGCTTCCGTGGGCACAAAGACAATATGAAAAAGATTTGATATGCCATGACAACACCAATCTTAAATAATCTTTTGTTCACATTTTGAAAATTTACATCTATTTGATCAATTGAGAAGAGATGCAGTACCTTTGAAAGGATAACAACCTGTCCGACAATGCTTGAGTTTGCCAGAAAAGGGCATCAAAACTCAGAATTTTAAATGACATTGAAAATTTTGAAAATATATCAAATATATTCTTTTATATCAGCAGTACGCTGTGATATAACTGGAATTTAGAATTATGACTTTGTTATGGTAATCTTGGATTGAGGAGGATGGAGGTATTTTAAGAGATTCTGTAGACATGAGACACTGAAAACATGCTATATGTAAATTCATTAATTCATTAATATGAGTTGAGACCGGTTCTGTACTGTCTTACAGATCTGCTTTCCATATCTTATCCAGTTTTGAAAACCGTTCATTTCAAAATTAAGGCTAAAAGACTGAATTGTTTACTTTTAAAAGTGATATTATCATACATTTTTCCATTGGCCTTTTAGTATGGCCTTTTTTATGTAAAAACCAAGTAATTAATCTGGTCTTGACTGAACTGAAAGTAAGTATCAATTTTGAAATAGTTCTTCTTGAAGACAGTCAAAGGCAAGTCTTTCATGTTAATATCGTTTGATCAGTGCAAGTTGTATCATCTGATCCCCATATTAATCAGAAACAGATTCACGAATCCATATTTTCTGTGAAGGAAACATTGTGTAATATCTAATTTCATAGTCAAAAGAGTATGGACCAAAATACTGCTCTATCAGTCAGTATGATTCAAAATGATTGCAAGTAGCACCTTTGTGATGTGTGCCTTTGTGTCATCTTCAGTCTAGAATATTTTCAACAGAACAGAAAGAATACTGTAAATATATTGTATATAGTCCATGTACTGTTTATAGTCCATATTTATTGCCCTAAGAGAAAATTGTAAGTGTTTGTGCCCAGTTTCACAAAGCAATCTTGGCGCTATGACTGTTGTATATCTATGTTCAAGTGAGATGATAGTCCAGGCACAGCAATCTCCTTGAGAAGTGGAGCCCTTCCTTTCCGCCAGCGTGTGTAAGATGTGTGTGCAACATCTTTATGACTTAGTTGCATATTATGATTATATTCAGTTGACGACAATAAAACATGACATAATGAACTCTATGATCATATGCATTTTTCAGAACTGTATACCCACACGGTATGGAGGTTGTAAGATGATATGACTGTTATGTGTAGATGTAGATTATAATATTTAGTGAGCCTTCAGTTTAGATCAGTGTAAAATGTGTGAGAGCTATCTGGGCTTGTCTGCTTTAGAAAGCTACAACATTGTTTCTAAAATGCTAAATGATTGTAATCTTAATATGACCTTTGTGCGGGAAGCTTGGGCAGATCTCTCTATACCTCAGACCCTCATACTGATGGTCAATAGTAACATATCCTCATGCCTACTTCCAATCAGTTCATTTTGCATTCAAGAAAGCGAAGTGGGTTTCATCCTTTGAGAATATAAAACAATTATTTGGAAACTTACAGAATTTTCTTTTTTAAATTTGATGTGTTGTTCTTCATCTTTATCAATGCTCATGTTGTCATGGTTACAGGAAGAAGAAGAAAAAGGATAAGTGGTTTACAATTTACTTAACTAAAAATACACTTTCATAGTAAATGATGGTATTCCTGTACACAGACCTGACTTTGTAAAACTGCTAATGAGCATTTCGATCAGTGATCAGTTACATTGATATTTGTTTAACTTTTGTCCATCACTATATGCTACATTTGAAGACTGAAAGTGACATCACAACAGTTTAAATTACTGATATTTGCTTCAACAAATGTCTATTCAAAATAAATATATGACCCAACAGGAGAAAAGGGACCTTATTGGTGCTAGGATACCATTGTGCTGTGACGTCATAAAGAAAAACGTTTGACGTCAATTTTCCCCGTATATATCGCCATATGTGTGGACGGTACATTAATGTCATATTTTTCTTTGGTCAGTTTGTAATGTAATAAAAACATCATTTCAAAACATTTCAGCATACATGTCTACTTTCAATTAATCAGGCATTATGTCTAAAAACTGAAATAATTACATAAGCAGTTATAAAACTGAAAATGGGACTTTGCAGAAAATGAGTCCAAATGTTTGATGACATGTATCTCTGTGATAAATATTAATTGAATGTTATGAATTATATTTTTGTGGTCCTAGGATACTGTGGTTTTAAAAGATAATAAGAAGTCAAAATGTGATTTTTCACCCATAAGGTCTCTTATCTCATGGTTGGTCCCATGTGTTACTCATGGAAAGACCTAATTACCAACTTTTTCTATCAGCCCTTTATTTTCTTCCAAATCAAAATTTGCCATTATCCAACCCTGTCTATTTAGGCCTTTCTGGTCTGTGAAACACTGAAGCCCCATGACGTGCTGTAGTTGTGTCAGAGACACATGGAGGAATGCTACAGTGAAATTTCCCCGTTTGTATGAATGAAAAGCTTGCCAATGGTGGATTGTTCAGGTATCTTTGCTCAAATTGTTGCTGTATTCCATCAACATGGAAAGCTATGTCTGTACATCATTCTGTTTCTTCATTTAGTTTTGAAGTATTTGTGTTGCTGCCAGATTTATTTAGAAATAATGAATGAATGTATGTCCTTAACTTCAATATTTGGCACTTAATTTGTCCTTTTTATCTTTGATTTCTTCATCACAATGGTGGGGGTGGTCGGGTAGCCTAGTGGTTAAAGCGTTCGCTCATCACTCCGAAAACCCGGGTTCGATTCCCGATGTGGGTACAATGTGTGAAGCCCATTTCTGGTGTCCCAATTGCTGGAATATTGCTAAAAGCGGCGTAAACCATACTCACTCACTCACTCATCACCATGGTTTGTAAACATTTAAGTTTATCTTTCAAGTTGGTATAGAATGACAGTGTTCTTTAACAGATTTTTAAAATGTTAATCTGAGAGATAACAACCATGACCCTACCCTGGTATATGGTGTAGGGAGTAGTAGACATCTCTCTCCTCCTCCTCCCCCACCCCCCCTCAACAATATGGCAGCTGTGTTAGTTGACCTGTTCAAGATCAGCCTTGGATCAAGCAGTCCAGTCTGAACCTTGAACCACTGACATGGCTGGTGTAATGTAACACACTTGTGCATCATCGCAAAGTTGATCTCCTATTGACTCCTACCAGAGTCTTGTCGAAACATCTCGAGGGCTTGGGTGGCCTATTCATCTAAGACGCTGCAATCAACTGTTCAGAGTTGCATCTCAAAGATGTGCCAGAAACCCATGATCTTGGGAGAGAATTCCCCTCCCTTCTGTTTGTGTTTCTAGGTTTGTCCATATCTGTGCTTCGGGGATTCTAATACCTTAAAAGGCATAAGATGCGACTGACGGGATCAGGTGATATTGCTTGCTGATTTGGTCATTACATCTCAGTTGCGTAGATCGAAGCTCATGATGTCAATCACTGGACTGTCTGGTCTGAGGTATTGCCGAGTGCAGTCTTAAGCAGCAAACCAACAAAAATTCTGGATTCTTACTTAGTGGTACAGGTTTGAGACCTTTCTTCCACAGCAAGCTGATGGGGCGGTTGAGTAGCCTTGTGGTTAAAGTGTTTGCTCGTCACACCGAAGACCCAGGTTCGATTCCCGAGACGGGTACAATGTGTGAAGCCCATTTCTGGTGTCCCCTGCCATGATATTGCTGGAATATTGCTCAAAGCGGCATAAAACCATACTCACTCACATCAGGCTGACATGCTGTGATATAACTGAAATACTGTTGAAAGCTGCATAAAACCCATTAAACTCACTCACTCACTCTCTCAGACATTTTGACAACTCAATGCACATGTTAATCACAATGGAGATTGTTTGATGTGACAAGCAGGAACTGCTCCTTTTGTTGAAAACAATGTAGTCTCTACATCTGTTGGAGACAGCCACTGGGTGACAGCATGAACAACAATCAATCCTGTCTGGGCACAATGACACACAGTCAGCCAGGTCACAAACACACAATCCTATTATAAACAGATCCTACAACAAACAGTTATTGAGGGTGTTTCTCTTCTGGAACCCCCACGGGACATTGCAAGCCACAACTCAGAATATGAAACAGAATGTATTGTAAAGGTTTACATCATTTACCCCAGGTAACACTATCCCTGATACTGATTGTAAGTGACAACTGTGGATGTGCAGGAAGGAAACATTGTGAAGTTGTCCCATGCTGTGCTGACAAATGGCACCGGTTTTAAGTACTCATTTGTACTAGGTTATGTTACTTTATGTTACTATGCTGTTGTATATGATTTATCGTTATGTGCATTATTAAAGTGAAGAATAGCTGGAAAATCATCCTTTGTTGTATTTTCTCCAAATTAAGCTAAAAAAGCAGTACCAGATGTTCAGGAGTGAGTGAGTGAGTATGGTTTTACGCAATATTCCAACAATATCACGGCGGGGGACACCAGAAATGGGCTTCACACATTGTACCCGTGTCCGGAATCGAACCCGGGTCTTCGGTGTGACGAGCGAATGCTTTAACCACCAGACTACCCGACTGCCCCAGATGTTCAGGAATACCAGTCTGTAACAGGAGAGAAAACTGTAACTATTGAAATTAACGTGAGCAGGAATTAAGTGCGAAAGAATGCGAGTGGTCTGTTCGCATTGATTAAGCTTCGCATTTGTGTCTCCAATTGACCATCAACAAAAAGACGGCCTTACTGCACAATTTGGACAGCGGAAATACCAACTTTAATATAAACACAAAAATGATTTATTGATCAGCAGTTGTGTAACAAGTATATGACAATGCCACTCAAAGAATAGCAGTTACAATAGGCACCTTGTGAGTTATCACTGCTGGGGTCTAGGGTTCTACCTACTGGTGTCAAATTAGGCATAAAATGTTATACTGCTATCACACTTTTAATAGCTAAAAGGTGAGTTGAGACCATACATTGCAGCCATTGTCATCACCAAATTAAGGTTTAAGTAGGGTTGTGTTTGTATAATATATTCCCATGTTCCGTGTTTTTTCAGACGAACAATTTACTTTCCTCTGCATGTGTTTCTGATGGGAACTTCTGGTGGGGAAGGATTTGCCTGATATGCCTCATCACTATTTGATAGTGATCTATAAGCATATTTTATGAGCTGTTCAGAATCGTACAATGGATGTCTTATGAACATGGATAGGAATTTGTGAATTTGATTAACACCTGGGAATTACAGCTGTACAATGGGTTTTGTGCAATATCCATAAATACAACAAAGAACAGTTACATTGCCATGTCCTAAGTAAGCAAACATAACTGAAATTTCCCAATGTAACTTGTAAAATCAAATAGTACATTTCACCAATGTTCTGAAATTTATAACAGTTACAAAATGGCACAAAATAATATTGGCTAAAGATCACCAAACAAATTAGTACAATTATCCCTAGATCCACATCTGTAGTGGGTACCGGTATCTTGCTCTATCACATGTGTTACACTTTCACGTGGTATGTAACACACTACCTACCAATATCTGTGTTCAGTGGAGGGAAATGTTATGCATCAAATGTAAACCCGAAAGTAAGATTTCATATCTCCATCAGACAGTGAGCTGGCTAACTGGCTAAGTGCCTGCATCCCGTTACTGGGTCCCGTGACCTGTACTCCGGAAGAGGTTGTAATTCAATGTTGGAAGCCCATGTCAAAGCCATCTCCTGCACCAGGAAATGCACCATGCAGTTGGAATTCCTTGTCAAAGCCGCGCCCTCCACTAGGGAATGTTTGTTTGTTGTTGCCACACAGCAATATTCCAGCTATATGACGGTGGTCTGCAAATAATCGAGTCTGGACAAGACAATCCAGTGATCGACATCATCAGCATCGATCCACGCAATTGGGATACGATGACATGCATCAATCAATCAGCGAGCCTGACCACGCGATCCGTTAGTCGCCTCTTACGACAAGCACAGTCGCCTTTTACGGCAAGCATGGGTTGCTGAAGACCTATTCTACCCCGGATCTTCACGGGTCCCACTGGGGAATGGAATTTTCATTTGGAAGTCACTACATCATCATCTCATCTACAATTCTGACCCTACCATACAAGAGACATCTAACCTAAAACGCCTTCTTTCTTAAAGATAATAATATTAAAAGCGACAAAACCCTTTCCATATTCGTAAGATGTCTCTTCCAAAAAGAGAGTCCATTGTACGATTCCGACTATATCATGAGCATGTGTTTATGAATCGCTGTCAAACAGTGATGATACCCTGTGTTGGCTAAAAGGAGAGCGTATCCTGCCCCACCGGTAGCACCGGTCACAAACGCATCCAAAGGCAAGGCAAGTGTTCATCTGTAAAACACGGGGACATGGTACAAGTCAAAATAGGGAATTGCATCGGACATCAATTATTCTTGTCACTGATGCATTAAACTTGGATATGTCCTCCACATGTCAACCATAAAACCTTTTTGAAACATTTGCCGAGGCCCTTGCATGTTGTAACCTTGATCAAACAACTTCTGAGAAAGAGTCGTATGACGCATTTTGAAATCTTGGTAGGAAGAGCCGGCTCGATTGTACCTCGAAAGTTGTGAAATGTACACCAAGGACTGCAGGAATATTGGTCGACTGGTAAATTGCTCGTCACGCTGAAGGTGAGGTGAGGTGAAATTGGGTTTAACGTCGCGTCCAAGATTATTGCACTTATAAAGCGACGTGCATGCACGTGTATGTGTGTGTGTGTGTGTGTGGCTGCTTGTACTAGACCGGACTGATGCCGATTTATAGTGCTAGCCCACTGAGATACCATGCCGCAGTTTAACATGAATACCCCACTCAGACACAGTATACTGACTCCGAGCCGACTAGTCCTTGCTTTAACCCCTTAATGCCGAGCGCCAGACAGGGTAACATCAAGTACCATCTTTTAACGTCTTTTGGTATGACGCGGCCGGGGATCGAACCCCGGACCTTCCGCTCTCCGGGCGGACACTCTACCACTAGACCACAGAGGCGGTCCGTCACGCTGAAGTGAGTGAGTGAGTGAGTATGGTTTTACGCCGCTTTTAGCAATATTCCAGCAATATCGCGGCGGGGGACACCAGAAATGGGCTTCACACATTGTACCCATGTCGGGAATCGAACCCGGGTCTTCGGCGTGACGAGCGAACGCTTTAACCGCTAGGCTACCCGACCGCCCGTCACGCTGAAGACGCGGGTTCGATTCCCCACATGGGCAAAATGTGTAAAGCCCATTTCAGGTGTCCCCCGTGGCAATATTGCTGAAATCCCAAACCGCGGGAGATGACATGAGTGATTGAAATCGGACTCAACACGCCGCGAACACCGCTTTCTAGTTATATTTATTATGCCAGCGTCGTGTGGTCTGAGAGCTGACAGCTCATAGTTGTGTATCTTTTTGGTGAAACCCGACAGTATTGGCGTAATGCTAACAGAACAAGAATCACAATTGCACCAACCTAGAACACACGACGAGGATACTGACATTGCTAAGGGAGGCGACTCTACAAAGCAAATTGTGCTTTTTCATTCCATTTTTTTCACAACGGGCTGTCATTGGTGAACTCGTCGCCTGAAAACCAGTCCTTGATATTATGAGCAAAGTCCAGGGCCGCGTGGGTATGATGGCACGCAATGAGCGAGTGTGTGTGAGTGAGTTGGGTTTAACGCCGCTTTTAACAGTATTCCAGTTATATCGCGGCGTGTCAGCTTAATGTGGGAGGAAAGCCCGAAGTGATGCAGGTCTCAGACGTTTACCACTTCGGTGAAACCCACGAGCACGGGTATGGTGCTGACAAACCTAGAAACATAATCGGGGCGAATCGGGATTCGAACCCACAATCATAGGTTTCTGGCGTGCCCAAGGGACGCAACTCTGTACAGCGAATCGCGGCGCATTGGACAACTGGGCCACCCGTGCCCCCTGGCACGCAATGACGTTACCGAGTCTGACTACCCGGTAATTCAATTTTAATGCCTCCGACATCAAACAAAAGCGATTGCATTCACAATACCCCCTTCACAATCGCATTACATCTCCACAAAAGAAGAGTCCGCCGCACGGGCCTGTCGTAACCTGGGAACAACTAAGGTGCTCAGACGTTATGATCTCAATCAGGGTCAACTTGGGATTCGAACCCATAACATTACACGGCTACGGAATGCCGCGCCTTATGTCCCCGGGCCACAGCGGGAATAGAATACATCATACGTTTTTACACCCTGTTGGACCCGTGAAGATCTGGGGTAGAACAGGTCTTCAGCAACCCATGCTTGCCGTAAAAGGCGACTGTGCTTGTCGTACGTGGCGACTAACGGGATCGGGTGGTCAGGCTCGCTGACTTGGTTGAAGCATGTCATCGATTCCAATTGCGTAGATCGATGATCATGATATCAATCACTGGATTGTCTGGTCAAGACAATTATTTACAGACCGCCGTCAGATAGCTGGAATATTGAGTGCGGCGTTAAATAACAAACCAACCAACCAACATAACATCCTGTTGACTATGGGGCCATCGGTGCATTATCGAGATGAATCCATGGTTACAGCAGGACTTCCCGACCTGTTCCACTTTTATTTGTTCCTGAACCCTTCTCGAATTTGACATAGCATTATCAGGTGCTCGTTTCATTTCACGTCATTTAAATGTCAGCTTTGTTGGTGTAATGGGGAAGAAAGATAATACTTTTTCGTTCAGCGGAGGAGTAGAAATGATTGAATAGGTATCTCATACTCGATTATTTTCAATTTTTTCTCGGATTCAAAATTGTTTTTTGTAAATATATACTCCTATCTCAGGAAAAGACGTTGTTATGATGAAAACTTCATAAAAAGCAGCGAGGACTGTCTCCGACTTTTATTTGTTTCCGTATCAGTGTCTGTTATTCACGATAAAAATACATCCACATTACAGCTGCTTGGCGAACTGGGCGTAAGAGCAGTCGTGTATGGAATTCCGCAACATATTACCCAGTATCCGTTTATCAAATCCAATTAGAAAAAAACTCTAAAGTGTTTTTTTTCAATATCGTCTCTGTATAGTTGTGGCGCCCTTGGTACATATTTCACCGTTTCTCAACTGGCCTTCTGTCTTCTGCGGACCCCAAATAGTATTATTCTCAAACAACCCATATGGGACAAACTACCAATGTAGGGAGAGCAGGAAACAAAGGGAGAATGCGCTCTAAGCCTGGATACCCATTTCCAGTCTACATCTAGACACTGTAAATGATGTCTGATACAATTCGCTATAATTACTTGTACCATATGTTCCCTTGGTTTTTTTCAGATTAACATTTGACTTGACTTTGCATGT